AAAAAAAAAATTTGAGTGAAAATGAAATAATCTTCTATAATGGTCATTGGGATGTGCGCAGGTTATTAATTTGACTCGGTCCACCGAAAGATCCTTTTGCAATCCCCTCAACTCGAACTTATGGAGCAAGACATGAGTAATTAAACAACAGGCTTTTGATAACCCTAGCACCCTAGTTTTATTTTTTAATGGCGGCAAGTCATGCATGCATGTCCCTTCTTTTGTACAAGCGGATGAAGCACTTTTATTTTTTAAGGATATATGATTCCCCCTAATGCATAAAGTTCGTTATTAGTGGTGCATACATGTAGTACTTCAAACCAGCTTTAAACTACAAATAATTGAACCTCGATTTTGTTTTTGTCTTTATAAATAGCTACTAGCTAGGATACTATCTGCTGCACAAAATAAACCCATATCTAAGCATATACCCACTTCAATCCTTAACCAATTCGGAACAAATCAATCTTGTTTTCAGAGTAAGTCCCGTATCTTAGCCAAGTGCGTCATGTCTGTGTCAGCCGTTGTTGCGAGAAAACCACTGAAACGCACTGATAGACTCAAAAGGTTTGCCATCCCAACAAAGACATTACAATTGTTCCCACAATTCAATGGTCATAAATTCGTGCCAGTGAACTTTTGGCAAGGCCCAATCATTTGGTCTATGGTCATATCCACTCGCACGCATGGCTACAAAAAACCTGTAATCTCCAAGGGTTGGATACCCTTTGTCCGCAAAAATCAGTTGGAGGTCGGTGATGTAGTCACAATCTTCAGGAACGAAGACGAAACAGGAATCTGGTATCGGATTGAGATCGAGAGAGGGAGCAAACCACTTCCTGCTCTGTATAATGACCTTCAAGTGCAGCAGGTGACAATATTTCCGAGCAGTAATGTCAATATAGGAGTTGCAGACAACAATGTCTTAATGGCACCTCGGCCAACTCCAGTTGCTGTGCCAACCACCCACAACAGTAATGTCAATGTGGAGGTTGCAACTAACATCCTTGCCATCAAAGAAGAGACGCAACTGGCCCCTGCAAGTGTTCCGCCAATT